TATCAGCCCACTCATCCGTGATACCAGATTTAGACTGAGGCACCATAAATGATCCCATTCACAGGGGCCCCAACACGGACAGGGGCCGTGATACATGCTAGGAGCACGAGGGTGGGTGCCCAGGGTAAACTTTGGCTGGGGGACCCAGGGTTTCAAGCATCACCCTTGTCATTGCATAGTATATCTCAGGAAAGAGGTGACCAATAGGCATCGAGACTGCTGACTGGGAGATATACAAGAAGCAGACTGTGCTTTCGCGAAAATTAGGAACAGCACCAGGAAACGGCGATGAAATACTGGATTTGGATTCCCAGTTGCACTCACACCAGCTGAGGAATTCAGGCTAACCAAGACCACGAAAAGTGAAACAAAATGCCAGCTAACCAAAGCCTAAAACTTAGAGACAAATCGCCGACTAACTGTAACTGCAATCATGGAAACATAGCACCTCCAATATCCTCTATATGAAACCCGGAGGTAAAACGCAGAAAACTAGGGACCTGAATCCCAAACTAAACCGAGCTGAATCCAAAACTAAACCGAGCTGAATCCTAAACTAAACCAAGCACTGAGCATTACACTCAGGAGTCAATGACGTCAGATATGAGCCATGATCTATGCTCATGCTTAGTCTAAATAAGACTTGGAACCAGCTACTTTCGAGGTCACAATGAAAATTCTTAATTGCATGACTGAACACAATGTAGGTGTAGCATCGTGGAACGTTATGTTAAACCTATATTTTAATATATGTAATATACAATACTGTGCAAAAGTCTTTGGCAGTAAAAGGAATTGTTTAAAGCTATTTACCTGGATTGCAAGTGTGTATTTGCTCAGAACAAACAACAATTTAATATTTGACTGTATGCAAATTAAATGTAACACAACAAAGACTAACGTGAATTTCTTCTATTATCCAAAAAGTTACTAATATGTTGTTGGTTCCCAAATCCTTCCTCAGGGGCACCTCAACATCTGACAAAATGTCACCTTGGACCCTCCCAGCCCAATTTTGCATATAATTTTATGAAATCAAGGGCCGCTGTGAAGTGCTGGGCCCCCCTGCATCTACCAGGGGATCCATGACCTTTCAATGCCCCTGATTCCTTGTATTAATTAAATTTCACCACCAGGTCATTTAATTAATTTACTTCAATAAAGTCAATTAACCATATGAGCCGTGCTACTTGTTCAGTCAAAAAAAATACATGGATGTATTAGATGGTTGCTGCTAATACTGTGTGATTTTAGGAGATGTTTTGAAATTGCTAAGCTCACACTTTGACAGGCATAACATCATAGTTTTACAGTAACATGATGATCACTTAAATATTTTCTTTGACGGCCTAAGACTTTTGCACAGCTCTCTATACTAGTGTGGACTGGCAATCCCTTCCAGGGTGCATCCCTGCCTAGTGCCATATGCTGTCCAGAAAATGTTCTAGGTTGGATGGATGGATGGATGGATGGATGGATCTAGTTTGACAAAGATTAACAAGTCAGTCTTTTTTCCTTTTCAATGTATTGACTTGTTATTAAATTGTAGGCATTTTCATTTATCATCCAAATTCTAGATCGGCACATTTCTGTATCTGCCTTGACTGAAGAAATTCAAATACAGATCAGCTTAATCATACTACACAAAAGCCCTCGGAAATGCAGCTTATTTGCTAGCATGAGTGAATCAGGGGTAGATCAAAGATGCACAATAATTTGGCTTTTTTGATCAGTAATATTACACTTTGGAATTCATAGAAACCCAGAGAAATCAATATCAGTAACAGAGTTTTTTCTCATAGACTGATTTCCTTACTTATTTTTGCGAGCGTACCTCGGGGAATGGATCCTTCCAAAGGATAAAGCTATTGTGAAATAGGGGACTTTCAATCTACGAAGTATAGAATAACTGACTTTAATTCCTGTGTATGTCTGAACACTAACAGCATGTATCTACACCTTAGAAATAGCCATTAGAAGTATAATACACAGCTCAGTCTTCTTTTTAAGTTTTACACTTTTTTTTCTTTCTCTTCTTCCCTTCCTTTAACGGTCGATCTCTTTCTCCAAATGTATGATGTCATAGGAAAGCAGGTAAGGCAGCCACAAAGAGGGGGCCTGAATAGAAGTCTCAGGAGGGATATTTCATTCAGCAGCGCTGCAACGTAGCCCCAGTCTTCTCATGACCGTGGGATCAGGTTCAGACTGCAAAGCTCCACACCAAATTGTTGCAAAGAAGAAAGAATCCGCTCTCTTGTAATGCGTGGGGTTTTCACCATGTTTTTGTCTGCATTCTCCATACAGAATATACTTGTGAAACTTTAGTATCGTGTATTTTTTTATTCTGATGCTGTCTAATGACAAAAAAGAAAACCACAATTAACATATTCCCATGTAATTTATTAGTCTCCCAAACACATTATATAGCCAAAAGTTTGTGGACACCAGCTTCTTCAACGTGTTAATGTGATGTCGGTCCACCCTTTGCGACTATAATATCCTCGTCTCTTCTGGGAAGGCTTTCCATTGGATGCTGGGACCTTGCTGGTGGGATTTGCTCCCAATCAGGTTGGATGTTAATGTTGGGTGATCAGGTCCCTTTCTGTGGGCCTGTATGTCCTACCACTTCCCAGCTGAACTTGCTCCCAGACATTTTGACCTTCACTGTCACTTCACTTGTGGTTGAGCAGGGCGGCTCTAGCAGGGCAGAAATGTGGCAAACTGACGTGTTGGAAAGATGGCGTCCTATGATGACGCCATGTGGAATGTCACCCCGCTCCTGTACAACCACCTACTCTGCTACTAATATATGTTGCAAGAGATGATATGACTGTGCTTATTTATATACCTGTGTCAGCGATGGGTGTGGCTTAATTAGGAAATTCCTCTAATTAATAGGGGTGCCACATCCTTTTGGCCAGACCGTGTAATTTATCTAATATAAACCACTTACTTTAAACTTTTGATGTGTATTTTAAAAATGAACTACTTAGTGACTTAATTTTGATTGCCAAACTACTATTTGTCTGATACTAATGACCTAATAATTAACTATATTATGTCATATCAGACATATCATGCCATCCAGACATCCAGAATGGAAGGTAAAATATTATAGCATTTTAAAAATAAAAACCCAAGGAGCACAAATACTGTGTACATTAATGGTCATAAGGATGTTATTAAAAAACAACAACATGAGATCAATAACAAGGAGCGAGTCAAAACAGTATGCCATCAATAATTTAAAGAACAATGGATCCAAATAAATAGGCAAACATCAGAAACATACAATGTACTTTTTTGCAGTTTAAAACAGTAGCCTGTCAAGTTTCGCAAAGTGCTTTGCTGTATATTCATAGACTTGAATGGTTTATTTAGCTGTACCAAACATACTGACCTAAATGCAAAATAAACTCCCCAGACTATAAGAATGTAAACACAATCTGAATTTATGAAAACTTACAGTAAAAGTGACACACATATATATAGTACATTTGTCTTCGAATACTAAATGGGCAGCATAGCTTCTGATAACCAGCAACCTACAGTTTTGAATGTGATATTGCAGCAGCATTGTTTTTGGTCCTGTAAAGTCACTCACATATACCTGTTGTATGTAGATATAAGACTTTTCATTTGGGAACCATCTTTCCTGCAACACAAAAGCACCTGCTGCTCTGTGGAGGAAAAGTTCATTGTGTCCTCATAGAGGGTTTGGCACTATCATCATCTCCACAGTGATGCAAACGTCCGTTCCGGTTCACAGTCGCGTCTCACCACGAGACTTGATTGGAAAAGTTGAGCCTGATGCATGTCAGTCGTCTGACTTTTTGGACGTGGCAGATGACTTCCGCTCCCTGTTCCGCCTTCGCTCGGACCGTCCCGCCCGCCTCAGGGCGTTCTCCTGGTACCCCCGGCTGGTATGGAACAGGTGTACCATCTCGTGGTCCTTGCTTCCCAGTACCCTGGGCAGAAAGAGCGAGGCCTTCTCTGTCCGGCGTGTCTTGCAGCCCCTCCTGGGCCGGCCCTTCCCGTTGATGGACACGTACCACAATCTTTCAGCGCTGGCTCGCCTCCTGGTGCCCGGGGGTGACGGGGGCGCCGTCCGGTAGTGCCGGGACGCGTAAGTGTTATAGCCAAGCTCATGGATCCGCTCCACAAACTCGCACTCCTGGTTAAACACCTCCTTAGGAAGAAGTACAAAGCCTCTGTCAGTGATTCTGTGATCTGAAATCTTCACATTTAAGAAAATAAATCTGTTTATGGTTGATGGTGTGTGGATCAGTGGGTCAGGAAGGTGTACTTGTGATCAGAAGGCTGCTAGTTCAAATCCCCAGGTTGTCTGGGTCGTTTCCCTAATGGGCCCTTATGCAAAGTACTTAACTCCCAGCTCCTCTGAGGACTGACTCACCCTGCAGCCTCAACTGACATAAAAAAATGGAAATTGTGTCTGTTGGATAAGGGTCATGGTATGACAGCTGTTTTTAATCGGTGGCTTAATTGGCAGCGTTGTTTAAATCCCAATCCTGGTTCTACCTGTGTGGAGTCTCTGTGAATTGGTGCCTCTGAATCATCTGTAGTGTGTGCGATTGTAGGTTTGTGTGTATGTCTGCATTCCCCATAATGCTCTGTCATTCTGTCTAGAATGACATAACATGACGCCACAACCCAGTACTGGATTAGCAGTTATGGAAGATGCATGCTTTCAGATGGTACTGTACATACTATATAGTTACAGTGTGAAATTCACCATGGACACTGAATGATCGCATACATTCATTCACTTGAACATGGATATCGAATCACCTGAGAGCTGGGAATGAATGATGTTCTTGCCTGCAGTAAGAGGCTATGAATGGAGAGTTATGAAGAACCGTCTCCTCAGGCTACTGTAGGCTGAGTTCATATTCTACATCATTCTATTAAAAAAACTGGACCTTTTTAGTAACAGAGACCTTTTTAGTAACAGAGAAGCCACAGAAGTGCAGACTCGGTGTATGTTAACATACTACAGTGCCGTAATAAACAAGTGGTAGGAGAACCACATTTGATTTTTAGCATCTGTAAGAGAACCCCCGCTGAAAATAATTTGAATGAGAAGAATATGTGCAACACCTTAGAGAAGCGAGGAGTCTGACGCCTGTGGTCCGATATACGCATATAGATGCAGGGTTTTAAAAATGTCAGGTGGTATATACTCACCGAGGCGTAGAGGCGTCCTTTTTTGTTCATGGCCAGATATCTGCCAGAAAACAGACCCTTTATCGCCACCACTCCGACGTCAACCGCTGTGATTTCCAATATACCTATCGCGAACCAAGACAGAGCATTGTGTTAATATATCGATTAAAATCCAGGGCAACGCGCCTATTTTGGGAGGAATCTCCTGAATCTGCAGTGCAAACTAAACGACCTTATTAAGAAGTGTGTGTTCACCTAATTAAAAACTACACAATCAATAACAGTTCGAAGCGGGTATTGAAAAACCACAAGTAGGGGCCAGATTTTATACGCAGCTTCCAAGTTAAATACCATCAAGAACAGACAATAAAATCGCCCACGTTGATATACTGGATTAGACGTCTTTTACCCAAAGTTCTCTCCCTTGCCTTCCATAAATGGGACAAAGAGTGCCGGCAGCAATTACCTGCCTGCTATGAAAGCGAAGGGTAAGCGATTAGCAGAAACGCTCGCTTGTTTGACTTCTACAAAGAATCGACTCACCATTTATTGAGACTTTAGACAATGAGTTGGATTAAACTCTGACATGGGTCAATGAGATTTACGGGCAATCCAAAGAAAAGCCGAATGACATTGAACTCTAGGTTCGATTAATCCTGAACCAAAAAAAAAAAAAAAAAAAAACAATTTAAAGCCAATTTAAAGTCTGGCATTCTTGGTCTAAAATGCAGCAAATCCACTCTTTCGACGCCAAAAAAGTAGAAAAAAATAATATTAGCGCTTCCTTACTTAAGCAATATTCTTTAGGAAATTCAGTTTTCATCGGCCCTTATTCAAGCATATCCTGCAAGAATTTTTTTTGTTGTTGGATAATCAAGATAATCCCTGTCAGGACACTAAATAGCTGACTGCAAAGTGCAATGTTTATGGCAAATTGGTACGCATATTCAGTATAAAAATAAACGAAAACAATATTTATACGAGCAGGTCATATGAGCAGTTAATAAAGATCAAAGCATGCACGTTTTCCTTTCGGTAGCCTATCAATATTTCTCATGTAACTTGTTTTTATTTAAAAAGCTTATACATTCTCATAAAATATGTGCCCGACTTAACACTCTATGTAACATTTTCAAATTAGTCGTTCAAGGGCTGTAAAGGTGATGTCTATTTGAACAGTATGTTTATATTTGTAATTTTATAGCTAGTAATCTCATAAAACAATATTATTCGGGGAAAATACAGATCACTACAATGTACTAAATGTCACATTTGAATTTACAGAGGGAAAAAGTTATTGATCACTGGATCGTTTGCTCATTTTCAAAAGTACAGTGACGGACTTTCAGTTATTAAAATTATAGTTACTTTGAAGTTCACACGAGGCATAGCAATGCATGAAAATAATTCAAATAAGTTATTGAATTTGAAATGGTACTCAGATTAGTTATGTGTACAATATCGCTGACCTCCTACCTATACACTGTTTACCTGAAGCTCGTTACATTTAAACGAGGCATTATGTGCAAAGAAAACCTACTTACTGTATGGGTTGTTCTCTTCGAGAGATCCGTCAATTTTCCCATTTGGGTGTATTTGCAGATGGTACTTCGTGGCACAGTAAAGCTTCCTGCGTCTTGGTGCTCCTCCAAGGTGCTCATAAACACCACCACGTCCCCCAGCATCTCTCCGCTGCCGAGGGTCACATGCCTGATCCGTGGCACAGGGCTCCTTCGGAGTCTTACCCAGAATCGGAGACAAGTCCTGCTTACTGGGATCCAAGAAGCTCAGCAACACCCAGGCTAGAATTATAACCATTGTGGCATGGCCGAAAATCTTAGTCCGCTTGCTAGAATGCAAAAAACTGACTCAAGGGGTCCCATCAAAGAAGTCTTGTTTGCCTCGGCACTGCGAGCAAAGCGCATTGGTCCAGCCCACGTAACATTGGCAATTTTATCTGCCTCGATCTCTCCTTTTTATTGGCAGTGATCTAGTAACCTCAAGTCATCGATTAGGATGCCCGAAGTGACAGCGGCGAGGAATAATCCAAGCGATAATCATCAGTACTTTTTTTTCTTTTTTCTTTTTGCTCTCCAAATAAACTGCACAAAAACAAACGAATTTCACAAGGGAGGCTGTCGTGAGGTTTCACTGATCGACAGCGCGCAGGAATAAAAGAACCTTCCGCCAACAATAGCCTTAACTTTGACCAATTGATACAAAGGGGTAGGGAGGCAAGGTATCAGTCTTGTGTGAACTATGAGAGTGCAGCGTGGATAAAATTACACAGCATTACACAGTGTGGCTTATTGCAGAAAACCGCATCACAAAGAAGGGCCCAACGGAGGGCAGAGTTTCTTCTCAGATGCTCCTTTGAAAAACCCAAAAGGCCAATTATACATTCGAAAATTACACAGTCTGAGCTTTGCGATGTATATTCCCTCGGGCGTGCTACTATCTATCTCAATCCGCATTACGTGCAACTATCTTAGATGCTAAAATGGAGCGATTCACACATGGGGACACACAAGGATATATATTCGAAACAGCTGAAATAAATGGGATGATTCTGTTCCAACATATGAGTAGAGCCGTTTATTATAAATAGATTGACTTGTATATAAAAATAATATGCCCTACCTACAACTCGTATATTTATAAGGACTTCTGCGGTCGTTAAGTCTTGTGTACTTTATTTTTCATAAATACAAGTTGCTCCAAAATTTTCATAAAATGCGATTCTATCTTTGCATTCTCGAAATAACATATTCCAGTCATTTTCCCCTGCCAAGTATCTCCTTGCTAATTAATTTTTTACAGCCAAGCGTAAAATGCAGACTGTTTTAATGCAGAATGTAAATGCATCGGATTTTCTCCCAAATTAAAGTAGCATGGGGGGGATTTCTAAAAGGTTGCCAGATTCACGCATGTTATTCACTTTATAATAGATACACACACATAGCAGTAGGTTGCAGGTTTTCCAGTTATGAAAAAGTCTCCACAGCTTTATTTGTCTTGTTTGCACTTTAAACATTTAATCCCATTTATTATAATTCATTTATCTTAGATGCTTTTCCTGAAATGAAATATAATAGGCCTACATGTATAATATTCGTTTCACTGTACGGGTATAGTAATGAATATCTCTGAATAAACGTGTTTAAAGCATTGAAGCCGCACGAGGGATGGAGTTGACGGGTGGAAGAATAACGCGTACATCACTTTTGCTGAAATTGCTTCCATCTTCGTTCCGTTATGGTTTCAATTTCCATAATTAGCACCATAATCCGTAAGTCCCTCCACCCTTTGGTATAACAGTAGAATTTGCGCTCAGTGTTATGCTTCAGAACCTCTCAGGAATGCGTTGTTAATCTGTAAAATAAAATAAAAAAAATCTGCTTCGTCACACAGTTAACTTGCTTTTAGAAATTAGTGTATTGTTCTTTAATTAGCCTATGCAGGCTCATTAAACAAGAAATCAAATTCAAACACTTTCCTCGACAGTTTCTGACTGAATCTTTGATGTGGTTTGATTGTGGTTTTATATATGACGTGTCTTCCTGACTGTGGTTTATTAATAGCCAATAGCATGAAAGTCCACAGTTATACTCTTAGTGCCATGGGTCAAACTATGTATTTTATCGACTTTTTACGCTGCCACAAAAGACCAGCATTTTTTTTTTTTACAGTTTTCTAAAATTGCAATCATTGTTCACTTGAGTGTTAAGAAATGATACATGTGCAGTCGTCGCGATAGAATTCTGTTTGCGATGTTGTTGTTGTTGTGCGTATATGGTAAACAAATTTTGTCCACCCCCCTAGCAAATGATTATCCCTCGTAAATCTTAAATTCAATAGAAGGGGAAGCTTCAATTTGTAAGTGCAATAAATACCAAGGAGGTGGGAGTGTCAATCGAAGAGCCACCTCCCTCTTCAATTAAAAAGCCATTACTAGTTCAAACATAAAACATCCCAAATCCTTTAGGATTATGTGGGGAATCGTAAAGTGCTCGCTCGCTGTTACTTTGACAGCTTGGCAGCCTAACGCCGTTGTTTGTCTGATATTTCAATTGGTTTGTTCGGTGCATTTGCAAACCCTCTTTCGACGATGGATTATTCGATTATTAAACTATTATTAAATATTAAACAGTAATATTGTGCCTTTAAATGTGTTTGTGTCACTAAATATTACATTTGTTCTCCATTAAGTTAAATTTTATATCCCATCATTTACTGGCGCTGGTAGCCCCCCCCCCGAAATTTCATTAAATCATAAACGTATGTGTTTTACCAAGAAATCTGATAGCGGTTGTTGTGTCCCTCGCCTGTGAGTAACACAGATTTACAGATTTACGCGAAAGAAACATTTCGTCGTTGTCTTTTAATTGCCCATACATTCCAAAAAATCGTGCACACAAAGAGTCTTTTGCGAGATTACAATGGTTATTAGGCACTGGTTCGCTTTCTTGGCTCTTTTGTGGAAAAAAGGAGGTACCAATACTCCAAATCAAATCAGACTGACCTTTGAACCTTTTCTGCTGTACTTTTTCTCATGCCATCCTTTCTTTTTGGTGCGCTAGTGATCTGAGGGCGCGGCCGAGGCTGCAGCCACTTTCCCAGACGGGGCTGCCTTTCGTCCACTGACAAATCGCTGCTGAGCCCCTTTTGTCCCGCTTTACTTTGATCTCACCTGCTTGTCAGGGCTAAAAGGACTCCCGTACAGTTCGAACCCATTGCAAACAAATTGGCAACCATTTCATTCCCATACCCCGTTTCAACAGGTCAGTTTTAGCATCGTTAACCCTTTCATGCTTTTTCCGGCGTGTCTGCGTGGTTGCCTATAGGAAATGCCTCTTGCCCCCTGTTCTGCTATCTGAAATGTTCTGATATACGCACACTGCATTTATTCGAAATTATCAACAATATTAGTATATTTAAACATCTTCTTAGGCGCCTCCTTTATGAATGGAAGTGTACCTTAACAGAAAGTGTACCTTAAAAAAGAAAAAAAAACAGGTATGCGCGCATTTCTCATGTCATTTCTCATGGTTGTCAAGCAGTAGATATAATTATTAGCGTGTTATTGTCATTTTATTTTGACACTGTTGCTCTATTTGTTTAAAATTTCGCCTCATTTATTATTATTATTATTATTATTGCATTTTAATTGAGTGTGAGAATGGAAAAACTCTACAGGGCTCTTACCAAAATAATCATCATGTGCATGTTATTGACCTGATCTGTCTGATTCTTTTAGTTAGTGTCTATTGATTTTTTAATGGAAAATGTGATTTTATTTTATTTTTTTCGGTAAGGAGTATTTTTTATCATAATAATTGTGAAAAAAAAATTGTTGCCACTGCTCTTAATCTGCATGTTCTCCGTGTTTTTTTTCTTTTTGTCACCTTGCTCTAGATATTCACCTGGAATCGATCCTTGCAGAGGAAATTTACAACACTTTAGTCCGGAGGAGGCACTTGGGCACTCAGGCTAAATGAAGCTTGAACACCTCACACAGAAAAGGAATGAGCTCACCCTGCCACCTCACCTTTGTGAGAGCAGGTATCCATCAGAGCAGCGGCCGATTAGGAAACAGCACTTCAAACTATAGTATAAAAGGAAGGTCTTCTCTCACTTGAAACTGGATACGCTCTCTTATATCTCTGGGTCTCTTTGAATGCACGCCTCTGGGTTTAAGAAAAAGACGGCCTTTTTAGGCCCTGTCCGAATGCTCTGCTCCCTGCAATGGAACACAGTCGCTGGGCCCTAAACTGGCATCACCAGCGAAACACCCAGATGGCTGTGGTGGGTTTGTGATCAGCTGGCAGCCTGGGAGAATCTCTGATAAATAATGAGTCATTCTTTCAAAACACGTGAACATGTTGTTTCGTCTGGTTATTGACTTGCACGGTGCTTGTGTTTAGCTAGTCAGACGAAGGGAGGCACTGGTATATTGTAAAAATAAGTGTGTCCCTCAGTTTGACAGCAGTCGACCGTCCTGCCCCCTACCCCCAGAGCCCGTCGGATCAATTCTGGAAGGTGTCGTCGCCACCCCCCCCCCCCCCCCCCCCCCCCCCCCACCAGCGACAGAGATGCAGTAGCTGTCAGCGGCTAATTTGAAACTCAATGTTACCTAATTTCCCTTTAATATAAAGCCACGGACGGTGGGACAGGGCGCCCAGCAGGGACCTGCGAATGAGAATGCAGCCCGCTCATGGCTGGGGAGAGATGGGGAGGCGGGCAACTCTGCGGCGTGGCCATTGTTCCCAGGGCCCCTTTGAAGACGGGCCGCTGACATTTACACGGGATGCGACCGGGCCCCTGCGTCATGCACATTCTGCTCCTGCAGCACGTTACATCATATTTCAGGGGGAGGATATAGAGGGAAACCTGTCAAATTGCAAAATAGTTTTCTGCTCATTTTGAGTGACAGATTCCACGATGGACACCTGTTAATAGCAAGAAGGTGCAACTGTCATTAATTTGTCAATTAAAGTAAAAATGTTTCTGTTGGACGACTGAATCGTGTCGTTGGAGTTAATGAAACTTCTTCCTTCTGATCATTCCAGAGTAGCCATTTGTTGATAGTATTTGCTATGGTTCATCATTAAACTTTTCTGAAATTAATGGTTTGGTATTCACAGTCACATGGGTCGGCATGGAAATTTCAGCAACCATTAAATCAGAGAGTATAATTACTAGTAAGAAACAAGTGAGATTAGTCCATTGGGGCTGAATTAATGATCTCTGGGGTATTGACTTTGTGGCAGAGTGGATCTTCAGTGACTCGCGTAATGGTTGTGTGCAGATGTGCGTTCCGCTGAGAGGCATATCAC